AACATTTTTTCATATGTTTATTTGCCATTTCTACTTCTTTGTCTAAGAAATGTCTGTTCATTTCAGATGCCCATTTTTAGATTGGGTTTTTAAATTTGGGAGGTCTGATTTTTTTAAGCTTTTTGTAGATTCTAGATAGTAGACCTTTATCTGAAGGACAGCTGGTAAAAATTTTTTCCCACATTGTGAGTTGTCTCTTCACATTGTTGGTGATTTTCCTTGCTGTCCAGAAGCTTTTGGGGTTTTTTTGGTTTTTTTGTTTTTTTGTTTTTTTGGTACCAGGGATCAAACTTGGGTCCTTGCGCTTGCTAGGCAAAAAAGATATATATATTTTTTTTTTTTTTCCAGAAAAGTTCTTTAGTTTGAACTTTAGCTTTTTTTTCCATTGAGTTTTTCAGTACATTTTAGGTATACAGTACAGTCACATTCATCGTTGGGATCTTGTACCTTTACATGACGTATTTTGGTTCTTGTTTTTCCCCATTCCCCTGCCCTCCCTTCACCCCCTCCACCCTTCCCTATTTACAAAGACGTTGTTTCCATTTTTTCCTTTTCTCATATTTTTTCTTTTCCCTTCTTTCCTTCCCCTACCCCTCTCACTTCCCCTATTCCTTTAGACCTTTTCTTCCTATTTCACATTATGAGTAGATATTTTGAATGCTAAATAGTTTACATTTTAATTTTTTTTTTTTTTTAGCTTTGTGCTATGATTTTTCTAGAACTATTGTGTGCTTTGCTTTCCTTTGGTTACCTTATCAATGTCATAGTTTTTACCCTACTGAGGCAGATATGTTGATTATTATTTCTGTGTATTTTTAAGTGTCATTCAGGTTTTATAAATCTTATCACTTGGCTCACTCACCCACTCCTTCAGATATTCACTATACCTTTGGTATAGAAAGCTGTATAAGTCAGTCTAATATAAATGGTCCACTTGTCCCACCTGCTGCATTGATCTCTATCATCCAGAAATGTCTACAGTATGTAGAGGCAGAAGTTAGTATAAATAAGGATGGTACCTTGTTTGATGGTCGGCCCATAGAATCTTTGTCCCTGAGAGATGCCATAATGCCTGATGTAATACAAACAGGACAACAAGTTTACAGGGATAAGCTTGTACAGCTGCTGCAGCTGCAGCCAACCAACAAGATCTGAAAAAAATGGAGAGAACACAGCAAATGGGGAGGAGAATGGAGGGCATACTGTAGCAAATAATCATAGTGATATGATAGAAGTAGATGGGGATGTTGAAATCCCTCCTAATAAAGCAGTTGTGATACGGGGCCATGAAGCTGAAGTTGTCATCTGTGCCTGGAACCCCGTTAGTGATCTCTTGGCATCAGGATCAGGAGACTCAACAGCAAAAATATGGAAGCTTAGTGAAAACCGCACTGGTGGTTCCACACAGTTAGTACTTAGACATTGCATATGAGAAGGAGGACAAGATGTTCCAAGTAACAAGGATGTAACATCTCTAGATTGGAATAGTGAAGATGCACTTCTAGCTGTTTCATGTGATGAATTTGCCAGAATATGGACTAAAGATGGTAATCTTGCTAGCCCGTTAGGGCAATATGAAGGCCCTATATTTGCATTAAAATGGAATAAGAAAGGAAATTTCACCCTAAGTGCTGGAGTAGATAAGACTACAGTTATTTGAGATGCACATACTGGTGAAGCCAAGCAACAGTTTCCTTTTCATTCAGCACCAGCCCTGGATGTTGAGCCACAGAGCAACAATATCTTCGTTTCCTGTAGTACAGATATGTGCATTCACGTACAGATTAGGACAAGACCGACCTATTAAAACTTTCCAGGGACTTACGAATGGAGTTAATGCTATCAAAGGGGACCTAACTGGAAATCTCCTGGCCTCCTGTTCTGATGACATGACTTTGAAGATATGGAGTATGAAACAAGGCAATTGTGTCCATGACTTGCAAGCACATAGTAAAGAAACAATTTAATCACCAGATAATGACAATGGACCCTTGTATTTAAACATTTTTGCCTAAAGGCCAAGAAAGAGGCTCAGTGCCATTTCACTAATACTTGTGAAACGACTTGAGTTTTCAGCTTCAAGAACAGACCAATTTGCCAACTTTGGCATGGTATTTCAGAGGGGACCCTAAAGCCCCACCCCCAGCAGCTTACCACAGAGAATCTATTTGCAGCACTTCTGGAGGTGACAAGTCACAGCGGTAGCTGACCTCTTTGAAGCTCTTTCATGAGATTCGTACACCTCATTTCAGTCCCATGTGACATATTCATCTGATGTGTGCACTAACTTGTTAACTTAGGGAAGATATGCAGGAAGGGCTAAAGTCAAGAAATGTTGAAACCAGTGAAATGTTGTCTTCACTCAGACTTTCGTCTTCTTATTCTAAACAATCAAGGAAAAAGCCAAAGTTTCATTTAAATGTATATCACCAATTATGTCAGCATTGTTTGAATTCTGATTGTGTAGATATCACCATTTTGTAAAATAAATATTAGGCAGTGTTCAGCGCTTAGAAAGATCTGTAAGGGATAATCAAAACATACAGTGAATAAATAAATTAAAAGTTATTATAGTAAAAGATACATTGCCATTCATCCTTCTCAAAATACTCTCCCTTGCTTTGAATACACTTATTCCATCATTCTTGCCATTTTCCGAGGCAGTTCTGGAAGTGGTCTTTCGAGAGTGTCTTTACAACTTGTAATCTAAATATAGTGCTGCTGGGCCGGGGAATTAGCTCAGTGGTGCTGCCGCCTGCCTCGCAAGTGCAAGGTCTCAAGTTTGATCCCTGATACCAAAAAATAAAAAAATTAAAAAAATATATAGTGCCCCTTCTGAGTGCCATCCAAGAGAATGACAAACTTGTAAAAACATTAGGGTGTTTCCTCATCCATCTTACTTATCAGATCTGGTGCTGTGTTACTTCTGGTTCTTCTCCCAAGTCAAAAATAACCATGAAAAGTAAATGTTTTGAATTGGGTCAGGACATCAAGAAAGCCAAGACAGTGCAGCAATTAAAGGCTCAAAAGAGGACTTCCAGAACTGCCTCTGAAAGTAGCAAGAACAAAGGTGTGCTTCAAGAGAAGGAAGTATTTTGAGGGGGATTAATAGGAATGTGTCTTTCACTGTAATAAGGTTTTTAAAAATTTAAACATTCACCATATTTTTCAACTACACTTCATACCCTCAGCCCAAACTTGCACATTGTAATTTTTTTTCATTTGAGCCTGATTAAGCTATTCCTGAACTAGATGCATAATCGGTCTTTGTTTTGGTTTTATTATTTATCTCTTTATTTCTTTTAGTGGAAAGCAGGTGTCTTGGTTTCTTCTCTTTGATGTAGGTGTAAAGGGGAAACATTCTTCTGTAGTGTCTCTGGTTCCCTTGAGTAAATTTGTAACTGCCAGTTAAAATCGAAACTGCAAATGATCCACATTGGTAAAACCAAGGCTGTGTCCAAACTCAACATATAACAGCAAAGAAATCAGATAACTTATCAGGGATCAGACTGAAATACTGTGTTGAATAAGAACTGAAACTTAGGGTTTCATTGTGTACCCAGGCTGGGAAGCCTTTTGAGTGCAGAGTTTGTTTGGAATAAAGATGGGGAGGAGAGTGTTCATGATTCTGGCAAAAGGGGAAATCACAATGTTCAGAATTGCTATGCTTTAGGGTCAATGTTGCTGAACTATACTAAGTCCTGAGAATCATTTTATCCTTCTGGATGGCCGTGTGTGAGATACCAGCAAGGCTTTGGGTTCTAAGAGGAGGAAAGAAAAGCCTGCAGATACAGAAATTTAGATAGAAGTTAAGCAAATTCACCAACTATCCCAAGGGATATGGGAGGATCAGGGATAACCTCTGCTATAAGTAGAAATGAGTGGAGATACCATGACATGAAACCATTTAAATTTCTAGGTGCGAAAAGGAATTGAAGAATCAACTAGGGTTGGTGGTTCAGAGAATAAAAGTGAGAATTAAATAATCTGTGTGTGTGTGTGTGTGTGTGTGTGTGTGTATGACTTGTTTGTATTCAGTCATCTCATTTGTGTTATGTTCTTGAATCAAGCACACCTTTAATGGATTTTTTTGCTTCTGAATCAGTGAGCTGACATGACAAGAAAAATGACAGTGTTTAATGCAACTTTCTCCAAGCATGGTGCTGAAAACTAAGAAAGGTGGTTCTGTTTGTGTTGGAGGGATAGTAGAAGCCCACTTCACTTCGGTCACAAATTAGTAAAATCATAAACTCCTTTTCGAGTAAAGGGAATTTTATATGAGGCAAAAAATGAGTAATATCAGGTAGCTTTCTGCTGGTTCAGTGTTGTCTGACACAAAGGCTGAGAAATATATTTCAAGTAAGGAAAGAATCATGTAGATGCTTCTTCTCTCAATTAGGATTTGCATAATATCCGAATGGAGGAATTTTACAATTACATTCTCTGGAATGATTCAGATTTCAGCAGTTGTGAACGTTCCACTAAAGCAGCTCTGTGCACAGAATGCAAATTAAAGACATAGATGACTTTTGATTCCATGGAAATAGACATGAAACCAGTTCTTATTTTTTGTTTCTGTTTTACTTTTTGGTTGAAAATCTATCTTTATTAAGAAAATTTTATCTAGTAGTATAATGCTTAAAAAGAGATAAGAGAAGACATAATATTCTCATTTGGGGTCTGCTCTAATTTGGGCATGAATGGTGACTTATATTTCCATATATCAAACTGTAAATCAAGGTTCTGCTCTCACGACCCCTTTTCTGGTTTATCTGCTTCACATTTTAAATTCTCACTAATAAGATTACTCTTCTGAGAATA